GAGCTGTGTCCTCCGTGCTCCAGACGCTCGACCTTCGCTCGGCTGTGCGTGCCTCGGCTCCGCGCAGTCTTATGGTGGGGCACGAGGGACGCCGTGAACTTCTTGCTAATCTTCTCTCCGTCTGCGCGATCGGCCTTCTAGCCGCTTCTGCGCCGTAATTCTGCACGCCATTGCTTGTCTCCCGTGATATTGTCTGATTACGTCCCGCGTGTGAATGTTCATTTGCAGATGCACTGAAGAACTCGGGGTATTTCGTAGGTACGAGTAATCTCGCTCCACTGTCCGCAATTTCGCCTGAATGAAACTTTATTGATCAGCCTGAATATCTACTATTATACTGTCTCAGGCTCCAATGACTGATAGATTCTAGATTTAACGCCTGTGTCATGATTGAAGAAATGCTTTTCTTCCAGAAAATTTTTAAGAAAGTTTCAGGACGGGTATCTATAGCGTGTGTTCGATATCCAACCTCCTACCTATGTAACTCGGCAAAGTTTTTGCTGTATGGCGCTTCAAGACTGAAGGAGAGCTGCTGGCTTTGATATCAGGAACAAAAGAGAACTAACTGGTCGCGGGCGTGCCTATTTATGCACGCACGTGAGGGTAAGTGCGCGTCATCTCTTCTTCCAGTTGAACTTCTTCCGGTCATATACCTGCGCCGTATCGTGGAGTCGCGGCAAACAGTAATTAAAGGCTGCGGGCGCGCCTTTTCTAATCGGCGGCTCGCTCTCCCCGTCTACTATGGGGGTTTGTTGATGTGTGTGAGTGTGTTGGCTCTTGCCTTGTAAATATATATATATTATATATATATTATATATATATATATATTATATACTATAAACGTTTTAATAACCAAAGAATCACCTCACAAATAATATTTACAAACAGTAATGCATTAGGCCTTGGAAACAAGCGCGCTGATTAACTACTTTCGATATTTTTAAAATCATCAGCTCTCCGCAGGCGTCCGGTAGCGTCGTTTGCAACGGGGCGGTGGCTTCGCAAGCTCTCGGTTTGCCCCAGCTCGTCGGGATTTCGCTCTTTGGCGACAAGCTCTCCGGCCAACGTAAACGGCTGATGTATTTTAGCCGGGTCCGCCCAGCGGTGTGACAATTGTCTCACAAATACGGAAACGAACGACAAGAGATTAATGTTCGTCGGTTATTTCTAATGACTTTCAGTGGACCTCTTCTCGTCGCACAAATTGTTTTGTTCGGCTCTGTCCATGTTGTGTGTTCCAAGGCGGGGATCTGAACTACCAGGCCACGCGGATTTCTATGTTATATTCCTTTCTCAAATTATAGTACGTAAATGTTTAACTTCGCTAATCATCTAAGCTATCAATCCGTGGTGAACTTGATTCTATTACTCGCGGATCACTTCTTCATAACGTCATATAATAACTGCAAGAACTCTCGTGGGCGATTCACAGGCCCGTCGTACTTCAACTGGAATGCTCTCCGCAAGTACTACTTTGGCTCGTCTAACGTTTCCAGAATTGACCGTTTGTGCTGGGGCGGTGTATGCGCTGATCAACTCAATGTTTTGTTTTAATTTAGAATTGGGATTTTTTTAATGTTGTTATAATAGGAACGTTTTCGTTTCAATATTATTATTATATATTATATATATATATTATATAGTATATATAGTTCTAGCTAACAAACCTACGCACACAACTTACCTTCACAGAGCTCGCATTGAACTAAGCGGGTTATCAAGATTTTGTCGTGAAGCAACTTTAAAATCTAGGGAGCGGATCTTCAGGGTGCGAGAAAAGGTTTTGGCCCTTGACAGCAATAAATAATCAACACCAATTTGACACAAACGAGCGTATAATTTACCTAAATAAACTTTAGTGGGCATCAGTTCATGACGACCAAGAATCTAGAAAACCTTTTTTACAAAGAATAAATTCAAAACAAAATAGAAACTTTAAACACACACTCATATTATGGGAACACATATTTAATTTCCAAATGGATACTCTGAAATAATTACCCTAACTACTGGGGAATTCCCTTGGAAATTAATTATATCTGAAATTGTGCTATGCTAATACTTTGCTCAGATGAAACAAAATTCAATTTACAATCTCCTGCTTCAAATTTACCATGCAGAAAAATGGTGAGCATCGGTTGCATTCATCTTACCCAATTTACCTGTGTCTGAAAAATAGCAGATAATAAATGTCTAAGTTATATGTTGTCATGCAGGCATGGATCAAAACGTCTCCTACTATAATGCAATTTGTTCCACGTGTCTCAAATTCTTAAACCTTTTCCTTACTATTTTTCCTAGGCGACGTGAACTTGACTATTTTCCGCAGCTAACCTTGTACATGTGACTTCCCACTTTTGGGCCTGATTGGTGTGCGTGTTTTGCGTGATGTGTCGGTCAGCTTCTGCGTAGTAAGAAACGGGAAATTCGCTCTTGCGTCTACGCCTGTCTTCTTGCGTCTCTGTTCTCTTCGTAGTTCGATCGGTCTTCTTCTCGTGCACTGGGTCTCGGCATCCTTCTTTTCTCGTCTGCTTACGGCGGCCTCTGACTCGCCCACGTTGCGAAAAATGTCTGCACTTCACTGGGAATACTCGTGCAGTTTCTGCTCGTTGCTACTTTCTACTCTTGCTAAACCAGAAGTTTCAATGTTCAACGGTTTTTTACTTCCGTGTTGGTTATTGAAGATAATATTAATCTGCACTATTCGCTGGGACGACTAACTAGAACGTCTGTTCGACGCGAATACTCATACTAGTAGTGTTGCAGCGGACAACATATCTTAGAACTATGTTTACGAAAGTGTTGAATCGATATGGTGGCGAGCTGCTTACTTCGACGCGTGGGTGACAAAAAGAAAAAGAGAGCTTTCGCTTGCGGGTTCGCGTATTTATCGCGAGGCGCCTCGGGAAATTCTCAGTGGTGGGGCTGCTTCCCCTTTCTCAACCCTCACAAGGAAAACATTGCTTGCTAGTTTGCCTTCGTTTAGTACGGGCAACGAATACCAGGCCGCGCGTTTACGAACCTCTGTTTTCTGCGCGTGTTATCCTCGCTGCCTCCGTAGTGTTCACACATATGGGACGGTGGTGTTATGGAGTTGCACAATCCCATAACGCCACAATATATATATATATATATGTGTGTGTGTGTGTGTGTTTGTGTTTGTCAATGATGATGCTAATGCTGATTTCACTTCCGCATCTCTCGCAAAGTGTTTGCCGGCAAGGTATTTCTTCATGAGACCAAAGAGATGAAAGTCCGAACGTTCTAGGTCTGGACTCTATGATAAATGCTGGAGCACCCCTCTCCCCAAATTTCGCGTGTTTCTCACGAACAGGAATAGCAACATGAGGACATTGTCATGGAGAATTTGGATGTTGTGGCATTTTTCACGGACGGCACGACCCAACTTAACCAACGTTTTACTGTAAGCTCTAGCATTCACAGTGGTTCCATATTCAGCGAAGTCTACCAATAATACACGAAAAATGGAGCTGAACACTGCCACAAGCACTTTCCGGACACATGGATTTTTTTGTACTGAGGAACCAACATGTTTCGACTCCTTAGAGGTCTGCTTCGTTTCGGGCATGTAGCGGTTTACCTACGATTCGTCACCTATGACGATTACTTTCAGTGAAGTATGCCTTTCGGCGACGTAACGCATCGTAATTTGCTCGCCTTTTCTGTTGTTGCTGAGGTTCTTAGACACCCAGTGAGCACTAACTTTACGAAAGTTCAACCTGTCATGAACAATATCGTACACCGCCTCATAGGAAATGTTGCACACCTGCGATAAGCTTGGCAGTTGCACACACCGGTGCTCAAAATTGCTGCCTCAATGGCTCCGACATTCTGCAGGGCTGCAGCTGTTACCGGTCGCCCGGAGAGTGGCGAATCACTAAGGTTTACACGGCAATCTTGGAAGAATGCACTCCACCTGAAGATATTGCTACGGTACACACAGTCGTCCTCAGACACGTCACGCACATCCCCACAAATATTACACTTCACTTCTCTGCTCTTCACAAGTTGACGACAGTGACATGCGCGCAATTTTTGTTTCGTAGTTCAGGCTTCACTCGCTTGAGCTGCTTATGAAAACAACTCTCTGTAGCGTGAATTTCAAACTATCTCGTTGTGGGATTTCCTCATTCCAATTGTAATTCCAGAGGAGAAGTGCGTTACTTACCGATCTGCCCTCATGTATTTTTCACCAATGTCACAATTGTAATTACTCGGGACCTACCAAAGTCTTTGGTAGGTCCCGAAACGCATGAAATACAACAGCTACCATCCTAAGTAAAGAATAATGTGGTTAAAAGAATAATAATAGGAATAATAAGAATAACAAATTTTATGTCCTATCAAGAACAAAATCGATAGCCAAACGGAGAGAAAATATGGGCATCTTATGGACAAAAGAATTATGATGCTGACTCGACACGAAATATTACTGTTCACCGATGCAATATCTAAATCAACGTATACATCTGAAAAATATTTCATTTTGAACAAAAGTACCAAATAACTAACAACACAACGAAGCAAATGGTGTCTGAGAAGCTAAAACGCATGAATGGGCTCAACGTATCAAACATTTGAAATGTAGAAAAGATTTTCGTTATTGATTGTTTGAGACAGACGCGAAGAGAACTTATCGCATTTTCAATTAAAATAGAAGAATAATGTTGTCCTCCTTAAAGAGGAAGATTTCCAGTCATTTTGGCCAGGAATCTGGGAAGAAGGCAGATCCTAAATTAAAAAGCGGAATTACAGCTATTACACTGATGTTGCAGATGAACTGCTGCAATAAGTCGAACTTGTTCACGAATTGCTCAAAGGAGAATATGACCAATGATTGAAACCATGGTGAAATAGAAATAAGCAGCGACCGATAATGTCCTGAATTATTGTATCAGAAATTAACAGGTTGCATCCTCATCTGGATAAGGATGTTAAAAGAAATTTAGAAAAAAACAGGAAATCCCTAAACGCCTCACATGCGGCATCATATATCTGCCATCCAATTGGGAATACAATACTCTGGCAAAGAATTATTGGCCAATAATTTGTCTTCCAGTAATGTTTGTTATAACTGCAAAAAAAGTTATCAAAGTGTACAGACACCTGCAGGAAAACCATTTGCTGCCAATGAAACAAAAAGGTTGTCGTGAAGAATGGTCATAAGGAGGGGTCGCAAAAAAATCTTAGTACTCAACAGAGTCAATTTAAATAACGAAAGGAAACGAATATATATTTTGAGCTTGGTCTGTATTGACTACATTTGACAATATACCACACGATTCTGTATAGAAACCCTGGAGATATATCGATTTCATCCTAAACTTTGACTTAAGGATTTCATTCTAGAGTTTTGTAAGGTTAGAATGAAGTATTGCTCTACTAGGATACTTCTACACAATTTATGATTTCCAACTTTTGCAGATCTCAAGAGGGGAGATTCTCCCGATTCACCCGAAAAAAAACGCGAATTAACAATTTTTCAACAATTTACAATTCTATAAACAAATTCGAAATTTTTGGTTGAAAGACCGGAAATGATCCGCAAATTGTGCCTGAGATGAACATTTTAATATAACAGTTTGATAGAGTAATAAATTGATTGCTAAAGATAGTATATTAGTTGCTAAAATTCTAAATATTTACTGGTCTGTTGACAGTAATTCTGGACGGAAAACGGCTCAGAAGTACTTCTAGTCATGGCGTACGTGCAGGCAAAAACCTCTCCTTCGGCAAGGAAAGCCGGGACGATACTTCCGCCTCATACGTAAACAATCGAGGCTCCTGCCCTGGGAACAGCGTCTTTCCCGTTCAATGGTAATTGGCGCCAATTACATAGGCACTGAAGATATGAATGAAACGATTGGTCAACGCACCCCTCCCCGGGCTCGAAGGGTGTTCAATTTTGTTTGGACGGTTGGGAAGATTTGACTCGCCAGTTATTGTGGGGGAACTTTATGTATCGCGTGGCGCCACGATGGCTGATTCGTGAAACAAAAAACAAATAATAATAATAATAATAACTTTGCTGATGTAAGATGTAATAGTGATAACCTATTATGTTTGCAGATGCTCTGCTTGTGACAGTCTCTTCCCATCTCTCATGGCTCTTGAACATCACAAGGAAGAGTTTGAACACTGGTCAGGCGATGACAGCCCTCCTGACAACAGCGAATCTGAAGAAGACACCAGCGATGATACTGTAACCAGTGAAGAGTTGGAGCGACTGCTGTAGCAATCGGCCTTGCTCTGACCTGACCCTTCCAAATCCGACCACACCCCTTATATGTCTGATAAAATGATATTAAATGAAATAAACCTAAACCCCACACCGTCTACCACATATGATATTTAGTGCATGAGCACTAATTAACCCTGTAAACCTATGTGCAGCATGAATTAATGTCAATTGTAATGATTATCAAATATACTTTGAAGGATCCAATGAAGTAAACATGGGAATTTTATATTTATTTGAAATGTAGTTAGCACAGCAGACAATAAATCAAGAGTGCAACGCAGGTAAGTAAATTTTAGTCACCGGAATGTCTGACACCATTTGTCTGCTCCTGAAATGTATTGATACTTAACCGAAACTCATTTCTATGACAAGGAAAAAGTAATATTTTTGACTGCAATTCGACACATTTTGAAAATAAAAACAAAAATTGGCGCATTCTACAATGGATTCTGCAGCCAAAATTGCTTTGACATTTAATCGCGAAATTATTATATAATTTCCATTTAAGTTTTCCCCATTGATATAGATTTCACACGTTTTTAATTTTAAAATTGACATATTACTCTCACGTAATGAAAAGACGTTTGACTTAACAATGCTATTGACTATGATTGGAATATCTGCGAAATTTGTCTCAATTGAAACGGTAAATGCTAATATTCAAATAAAACACAATTTCTTCGCATGTTCTCCAACGACTTATGTTGTTCGCGATTAGTTAATGTTCTGAGAACACGATGAGAGCCACAACGCTTGAAAAATTTCATTCATTTCACGGGAGCTTCAAACAGGAGAGTAATAAATATCTGTATGCAACATAATCACAAAAAATCCCAAACTCATTTTATTAAAATAAAATGGAGGGAATGTGTCAGTGTCTGTTTTGTATTTTTTAGTTGTCAGATAATCACTCAATATAGAGTGACATTTTTAGATATTTTTAACTCAGCGACAGAGTGGTCCTTTCTTTTGTTTTAATACACGTACGAACTCTTCTTATGTTTCTGCACGACTAGATATCCAAAAATTCATGTGTGGGTACATGCATTTTTGTTCGTTAGTGTATGTATTGTAAACAATAGTAAACAGTAAAGCTATGTTCAGCTCCGGAAACAAATTAACCGGGCAATCTCTGGCACCGTTCAGCTTTTCCACGGGTTGAACAGCCTTTGTCATGACCAAATGTTGCAGGCGGAGCCTCACGAACAGCCGCAGCCAATTTCAAAGGGGAGAAAAGTAGCCTAGCAAAATTAGAAAATGGCGGACGTCCCTAGTTCGGATGTAGAAATAATTTTAAAAAAATAGAATACAATCTAAATACCGTATATATTGTGACTGTACTCACCCTTGACCTTCTTTCACTATGGTCTGTCACCACGTATGTGAATCAATGATCACATATTACTTCATCGATTGGATGAAATTTACTAATATGGGACAGGGAATCCGTTTCAGGGGGAGTGATCTTGTTGGCTGCATGCAACTTACCATGCATTAAAGAATAAGAACAATAAAAAGAAAACATTTAGTAATGAAATTACAATGAATAATTACCGTGGTAATTATTATGGTGATCGCCATTAATCATTTGAGTACCTTTTAGTTTTCTTTCCCTAACATTGCGATCGCCTATTACTTGTTATACAGTTACTAAACAATCGGCCCCCTCAGTTACAAATACGTATTACCTTAGTTATTACTGTACTTCTTTCCATAGGAGTGTTATATAAATACTTGTTGTTGAGCAGCGGCTTCCAAGGCTGCCCCTCTCCAACCGTCATCCCCCTGGAATCTCGGCTTCGACCGGTGGCACTCGTCTCCCGAAGTGAAGCCGCCTCCGTGATGTCCAACGCCGATGTCGGTGGCGACGTCCAATTTTGGATTCCCCATGTATCGCGATACAATTACTCGTTTCCACGGTTAGAAACCAATCCCAAATAATTACACTGTCATCACATGGTTCATCGCCATTGCTTCTCTTCATTCATTCACACTGTTTCTAAATTCCACGTGGCGGTTACTCCTAACCAGCACTGTCTCCTTTGCATGTACTACTCTACGCTTTAAAAAAATCTTCAGAAAAAGAAGAGAAGAAATGTAATTTTGCATAAACTGTTATATACATATAAATATCGACATTAAAACTTCCGGCTACCCAGTATTCACACGTTCTAAAAATGTAAATACATTGTTATAACAATCACAATTTTTGTGAACTAAATATAAGAGAAAAAAGAAAGCCTTCAACAAATTTAAAAATCATAGTACCGAAGAAAATAGAATAGTACTTCATAGCATTTCATAAAGCATGGGTAAAACCGAGAAAAACCATAAAGATAGTTACAGAGAATCATGCCAAAATTTGCTACTCTCAATCAAAATACATCAATGAATACCTTCTGGAATTTTTTAAACTCTTTCAAGACAATCATTCACCATGGACTTCCAAAACGGTAATTAATATGGAAGACAACCTCACCAATAGACATTGCTAATACATTAGCGCATACATTTGCGAGTAACACCAGCAACAAGATTTGCACAGAAGAGTTTCTACACTTCAAAAATTCCTGTGAAGACCCAGAAGTCTATATACTGAATGATTTAAAGAAGATAACTCACTCCCAAATCAGCTTCTCTCAACTCACTCTTTAAAATGACAAAATTACTGTCAGCTCTAAAAATGAGTAAAAATAATAGTCCCGGGACAAACAACATATCTATACAACTGATTAGGAACTTACCAAGTCATTTGAATAACTATTACAAATTAATAACTATATACGGACATCCCGTACAGTTCCAAACATATGGAAACAAGCTATAGTAATTTCATTGGCGAAACCAAATAAAGATAACGTGTTTTCAAACAAACAGAGACCTATCTCACTAACTTGTAACTTGTGCAAACTGCTCGAAAAGTCGATAAACCGAAGACTTAAATGGATTCTACTTGGACCGAACACTTATGGTAATAATTGGATAATCCTAAATCAATTTGGATTTTGTCAATTTCGTTCAACTCTTGATCACTTGAACCATATACATACAGATATTTGTGAAGCTTTTAATAATAATAATAATAATAATAATAATAATAATAATAATAATAATATTGCACTATAGTGTCCTTAGATATCAAAAAAGCTTATGGTATGATTTGGAATCATAAAAATCCTCATTAATATAGAATGCAAGAGACACATATTACATTTTATATTTTTTAGTAACAAATATATTCAAGTACGAGTTTAAGACCATTATTTCAGAGACCATGATCCCATGGAGATTCAAAACGGAGTCCCATAAGAATCCCTATTCGTCTCCTATTTCTTATAGTCATTAACCATATAATTTCAACGTTAGCCAACCAATTAAAATACGAGCTTTACACTTGTAAGTGTTTTAGAAGAACAATGTCAATTATTGAAGTTCTCCAAGACGGCTTAAACAAACGTATAAGTTTCTGTAATACATCTGGATTCAAATTTTCGTCAACCAAATCAACGTACACGATATTGGCAAAAAATCTAGAGCAATGCCTGAACCCAAACTCTTCCTAGGAAACAAAGAACTAAAACAATGTAAAGAAATGAAAATCCTGGGTCTTATTTTTGATACCAAATTATCATGGAAACCTTACGTAAGAAACCTAGTCATTAAGTGCATGCAACGTATTAACACCCTGAAAGATTTATGCTTCAAAAATTGGGGAGCTAACCAACACATCCTAATGAACACATACAACTCATTTATTCAAACAAAAATTGGTTATAGATGCACAATATACGGTTCTGCCAAAAAATCCATCTCAACTTTATTATATTCCATGCAAACAACGTCAATAAGATTAACAATTGAAGCCTTCAGCAGTAGCCCAAAACTGAGTATTCTAGCAGAAGGTTGCGAATTACCATTAAAGTTAAGATGAGAACTTATGTCCTTTAAATATACTTCATCAACCATCTCCCTTCAAAATAATCCTATGCACCATGAGAAAATATCAATATTTTCAACAGTACTTCAAATACCTACCAAAACCTTTTCAAAATATAAAAACTATCATAAACAATTTGTCACTTGAAGAGAATGTCTCAATGCCACGTCAAATTCCCCCAGTTCTACCATGGGAGGAACTAAAATTTATAATTGATGTATGGCAAAGACAACAATCCTAACATTGTGTACAAAAGCGTATTCAGAGAATTATTGCATAATTTTATCAACTACCCCAACAAATGGTTCAGTGATAGATGGAAAAAAAAGTTGTTCTATCATCTATGAAGACCAAGAAGTTCTCTTCAAATTTTCAGATTCGTTTTCACTATTTTCCTGAGAAGCCTTCGCTATAGATCAAGCCATACGAGTAGATCTTATCACTAAACTAAACATCTATAATTTCTACTGATTCCAATTCAACTTTAGATACATTACAGAACAAAGGGACAAAAATTCAAGAATACAAATAATACAAAGTAAACTACATTTCAAGGGACATTAAAAATGAAAAAGCAGGCTCAGTAGCAAAAAAGCCGTTTCTCAAGGAATCGATTGTACAAAAGAACAAATTACTATAGAAGAACAAAAAAGGGCTATAAAGCAATGCAACTGGGAAAAAAATGGAACATAATCTGGGAAAACTCTAGGTCAAAACTACACTTGATCCTTAACAATGTGTGGGAGCATTAACCATACATCAAGAATAGGAAGATGTATATATGTATTTTGAATATGTACATTGACCAGACAAGAATAGGTCATTTCAACTTGACACTCTCATCTCATGTCAAAAACACTAGGGACCAGATGCCCTAAATGTGGAACTGCAATCTCTATTTTCGACATATTAACAGAGTGTAATGGTTACCAATGTGAAAGAACGTGATTGTCTGAGAACATCAAGAACTATTTGGACGACATTGAAAGTGTGTACGATGTTATGAACATTTTAAATCGATTTGGTGCCCTAAACTCTATATAAGAAACAGTAGTAAATTCTTTTTCAAGTTTGTAACAGTAACTAAGTAGTAACTAAAGTCGCTAATGACCCAGCTGTCGATGCGACTATAAATAAATTAAAAAACATTCACAATTTAATTCTAACCAGTAGGTCAGTCTTTAGAAACACATAGCATCGGCATGGAGTATGCGGAAAAGTAATAAACCGTTTTAAGTAGTAGATCATTGACATATGTTCATTTATGAATATTTGTAATTGA